TTTTGCACATACAATTGTCGTCTCATTTTTTTTTTCCCCTTTTCTTACGTGCAGTGGCCCTAAGGGCTTCACTCATCAGCACTTGCAGAAAAGAAAAACAGATGGCTAGTATGGTTCCAGTTTCTAGGAGAAGATTGATTATAGTCTTGCACATACAGTAGGTGTCTCATTTTTTTGTTTTTCCTTTTCTTACATTCAGTGGTCCTAAGGGCCTCGCTCCACTCATCAACACTTGTAGAAAGGAAAAACATGTGGCTTGTATGATTCCAAATTCTATGAGAAGATTCATTCTAGTGTTGCACATACAGTAGTTGTCTCGGTTTTTTTTTTTTTTTTTCCTTTTTTTACGTCACGGTGTAGTGGCCTTAAGGACTTCGCTCCACTCATCAACACTTGCACAAAAGAAAAACATATGGCTTGCATGGTTTCAGTTTCTGGGAGAAGATTCATTCTAGTTTTGCATATTTGGTGAGTAGTGGAGAGAGACCCTGAAAATCACATGCCAAGTCAATAAGTCAATAACCCATAACTAGTAAAACACGAACCTGAATTTGAAACTACACCATATAAAGTTGGCCTGCTCCCTCCTTACTACAAGTTCATTGACGACCCGTCCAGTGACCACCTATCTCCTGCCGACGGGACCCTTGCCAATTTTTGACAGGGATCTTTTGAAGTACAGGCAGGGGTAGTTTGAATAATGTGAAAGGGCTTTGTGATCTCTCTCTCTCTCTCTCTCTCTCTCTCTCTCTCTCTCTATCTATCTATCTATCTATCTATCTATCTATTTATCTATCTATCTATCTATCTATCTATCTCTATCTATCTCTATCTCTCTCTCTCTCTCTCTCTCTCTCTCTCTCTCTCTCTCTCTTCCCAAGATGTATACACCCTTCCCCACCCCGACACCATTTTTTATTTTTTTGCTCCGAATGACCTCAAAAAAAAAAAAAGGGGGGCCCCTATTGGAGCGCAGTCTCCCCTCATTTTTTTTTATATTTTTTTTCTCAAAATTTAAAAAGAATAAGTTGTCCGGGATCCCGGACAACTCCGCACAGGATGTCTGGCCAGAACAACTGGCCAGTTGTCCACCTTCAATCGTTTTCTTTGATTTTTTTTTTAAAGCATCGATTCGAAAAAATAACTTGAATTCAATCCTGTACTACAAGACCCCATACACCAAAAGCGCACTCTTACTCAATTCAACCCAAAGAGCATATCATAAAATCGGTGAACCATTCGAAAAGAAATTGGAATGGGCAGACGACTCGTAATATCTATCATACTTCACATGTACCAACAGAGGGGAAAGAGTTTAAATCGATAGCCCTCGACCACAAAACCAAACGCGTGCCATACTTTTACCTATTTGGCGGGGTTTCACTGGATCAAGTGATCAGTTTCCCCCATGGACGTCCAAGCAACCAGGGGATACGAAGTGAGTAAACCCGAAGGACTAACTTTAGTGGGTTCACGCAAAAAATACAAGATATTGGATTTCATACTCGACTAATTATGTACAAGAAAAATAGTATTCGTTTCTCGTCTTGGGATATGTGAGTTTTTATTCTCGCAAGTTTGACCAACACTTTTCATGAACTAAAGACCGATTCCTCGAGTAAGTGCTTCAAATTCTTATAGGCAAGTCTTTAGGGTTACTATATAGAATTTCAACCTGCCGGTTGTCTGGGAGTGTTTTTTTCACTCACTAATTTTTCCGAATCCTCTACACATCATCCCAAACAAGGATGTGTGGGGTATAGTCGTAGAGGGGCACAACATGTATCAACCCATGTGTGAGTTTCATGCTGTGTGTCAAGCATCGACATATTTATTATTATTATTTTGCTTGCGTCATGTGGAGTTTCCATTATATAATATACATATTTTTTCTTTGATTTTGTTCAAAGAAATAGTTCAAAATACCCCTTTGTTGAGGACTTTTGTTTGTTAATGTTATCCACTATATTTTGTTTTGCGATCGTATAAGTATAATTTTGAACGCATAACAACTCCCTAGGTTGGATTCCAACCAGCGAACCAATAGATAGGTTAAGTAGTGTGTGTAATCTAACCAAGCTTCCCTCTGAATGCTACGTGCAAGATTTATAAACACACGACTTTCCATTAGTTAATTTCTGGCGTTATGGTTATACATGCTAGAAACCCTATTCATTTCATTTTATTTCTCATTTTAGTATTTTGTAATACTTTAGACTTACTTGTGTTATTAGGTTTTTAATTTTTTGCTATGAAAATGACAGTTGAAAAAATAAGGATTCACTAAAAAAAGAAAGATCATCTTTACAAATTAGTTGAATCGATTCTTAAGAATGCAGTGTTCTAAAAAACGTGAAGTCGCTCCAAGGACCATACCAATAACATTTAGGAATCCCCAACCAAATCATATTGTCTTGATTTTTAAACCACAAGTATTTCAAGGCTTTTTTTTTTTTTTTTTGCCTAAAATATGTCTGCACGGTCGTGGTAACATTTCATTCATTTATCGGGTACCAGTTCCACTACGGATTTCGCCAGTAACCGGTTGCTCAATGCGTATTCCAAACGACCATGAAGTTGATGTTTGCGTGCTACCGTCATGTCTATTCGCAAGACAACGTCCGTACTGCATTTCATGGAGTGGAGAAGGCATACACTGCATTTCATGAGTGGAGAAGGCATATGCACAGAATGTAGAGGGCATACTTCGGACCATGGCGTGACAGCGCCCTATTGGTGGAAAGCCTGAAGACGGTTCTTGAATGATTTTTATTTTTTTTGTTTTGGGAGAGTTTTTAGGACGGTGAAAATCCTAACCTAAAAATTTCAAGGACCTTAATTTCCTTTGACTGTTATTGAGTGTCTAAGGAGACCTTTATTCTTTTTTTTTTTTTTTTTTTTTTTTTTTTTAAGCCTTGGTTGTTGTAGAGGTGGGATACTAGATAGATGGCAGTCACCCACAGTACTTGGCCACTCGGTTGTCCAGATGAACCCCTCTGAAGACCCCACCCACCCTTCCTCTTATCTTTTTGCTTTGGCGCACCCCCACCCCCCCTGTCCTACCCTAGTGTTAACCACTCAGGACCATCACCCATTGTCATCATGGCGGGGTCACCTGACCAGACAGCGGTTGCAGGTACCGGGGCTAAGCAGAGGTGCCCACCCGCTGCTCATCCCCGGTCGAAGCAGAAGTCGTGCAAGCGTGATTGCACGAGGACTTTGGGAGCTAGGTTTGAACATGCTACTACAGGTCTTCATGAGGGTGCACAGTGACTCCCATCTAGCTTTTTTAGTTGTATGGTGATGATAGAGAGTTGGGTATCCTCCGTTCCCTCATATGTCCCTGGAGCCCGTTCCGGCCATGACACCCCCGACATCCCATACTAAGGAACTGCTATGCCAGCCTCAACTCTATGCTACGTACTAGGAGGATAGCCAACCCTAGGTCGTGATTTATAGACTGAGTTTCTTTATCGTAGTATGATGCTGATGGTAGAGAGATGGAGATCCTCTGTTCCCTCGTATATCCCTAGAGCCCGTTCCGGTCCCGCGGTAAGGTGCAGTATCTCCTGACACCCTCGACATCCATACTAAGGACTGCTATGCCAGCCTCAACTATAAGGTACCTACTAGGAGGATAACCCACCCTCAATCGTGAATCATGGACTGTATGTATTGACAGTGGATAATCTCTAGGCCCTGTGTTGTATGGTAATCTAAGAGCAGACAATCTTCTGTTCCCTCGTATGTCCCTGAAGTCCGTTCCGACCCTGCGGTGAAGTGTTAGACCACTATGTCCTGACACTACCGACATTCCGTACTAAGGAACTGCTATGCCAACCTCAATCCGTTGACCACGTACTAAGAGGATGACCAACCCTAAGTTACAGTCTGGTATCGAACACAGGACCTTATGTAAATCGTGCTAGTGACCTAACCTATTGACATACACTGTGAAATAGTCTGTAGCTGTGCTCTGCTGGGCTCGAGTAAACCGGTCAACGCAAACCACCCAGCAGTCTCATGACAACCCCGTAGACCAAGAACATCAGGATACCTACCATTGCCCAGTCCCCACATACAACAACCATGGACTACCCCTTGGGTGGTGTGCAGGCAGTGCCTGTAATAACTTACCTGCGTCATCCTAAGGGGGTGCGTCCAGCCGTGCGTCATTCTAACGCCCTGCCGGTGTCCATTCGCAAGGGCGGAGTTTTGAACCCGCAACCTCATACCACAGTGCGCATTTCCAACCGGTGCTCTAACCACTAAGCTACATCAACTGGATTCTTGTGCTACATACCAACTGCTATGGTCTTCCAGTGGCCTAGCTCAGTTGGTAAGGCTCGCAAGTGGCATTGAGGAGGTCATGGATTCAATCCCTCATGCCTTCGTGGGCTTACTTGGTACCTGCTACCCAAGAGATAGACCACTGGATCCCCCGATCGGCATCAAGCAGAGTCTGCTTTGGTCGTAGGGGAGGGGCCTGAGGGGAGGCACGGGGGATTGGTCCGCTTTATCCCTGGTGCTACCGGCCGTCCCCTGGCCGGTATCCTGCAGGCTCAAGGGGCCGTAAAAACACGGCTCTGGTATGCTACGCGTTTCCCCGTATGCCTATAGGTAGGAGTAGTGGTAGGTAGGTAGTGTGAGGGATTTTTTTTTTTTTTTTTAGTACAGTTAAAAAAAAAAAAAAAGATAAAGGCCGGGCGTTCTAGGCGGCCGGGTGGTCCCGCTTTTATGCTGAACTGATTTTTTGTCTCTGACCGTAGATTACGAATATCAACGGCACAGAAAAACGGAAAACGAAGATCGACGGCCAGAAAGCGGAGGAACAATACACTCGTGGGCCCTGGGCTGTGGTGCAAGGCCCCATCGCGGATCCTTCTCTTCTGACCGTGGATTGGATAACGAGGGCGGGGATCGACGCCAAGGGGCGCATGAACCGAACCTCACCCCGGTGTTCTGCGGCGGCGACGCCAGCAGGCTGTCGTGAGCAACGCGCCCGGCAATTTCAAATCCAAGGGGTTCATCTAGCCCCATCTTCTTTCGAGGCTTCTCTCCGGTTTGTCGGAGGCCTCGTCGCCGTCCGATGGCCTGTGCAGCCTGCCTGACCCGATCTGGTCGGGGCTCACGCACTCTGTTCTGACCTGTGTCGTAGTTTGTGCACATGCGAGCGTGATTTGCTGATCAGATCGATCACAGTAGTCGTGGATTGGTATTGACGTTGATTGGTGTTGTGAAGACGTGGCGGCCGTTCCTGTGAAGTATTGGTTGACGTGGCGATCGGTCCGTGTTGGATTATCTAACGGTCATCGTGATTTCATACCGACGGCGGGCCTTTCAGACAGACAGGCTGGTAGCCACCGTCTTACATTTTGTAGGCGGTTCGGTAATTGGTTGGTTGATTGGTCGATTGATTGCGCAATCAACGACGGCGTATCGGATCGAGAAGCACTGCAGTAACTCGTGTACTCGATTGATTGTTCGATTTTTGATTGATCGGTCAATTCACTGCAGTGATTGGTGGAGTCGATTGATCGATTGGTCGGTCGACGTTGACTGATTGATTGGTCGCGCATCAGCAGACTCAAGTAATCAATCAATCAATCAATTCGTTGAGCGGCGAGGAGTTCAGCAGAAGGAGCGGTGATTGGATCAGAACACATCGGATTGGCGCTATCGTATCGGATCAAATCCTTTCCCAGCAAAGATATCCATCGACATCCATCGACAATCTGACGTGGCGTTTGCAAATTAGGCAGCGGCCATGCGCTTGGAAAAGTGCTGGTTTTGTTCTTCCACTGTATATCCCGGGCACGGGATCGTATTCGTGAGGAACGATGCCAAGGTTCGAACTATACCCTTCCTTCCTTTCTCCCGCTCTCTCTCTCTCTCTCTCTCTCTCTCTCTCTCTCCCTTCCTTTCTCCTGCACTCTCTCTCTCTCTCTCCCTTCCTTTCTCCCGCACACTCTCTCTCTCTCTCCCTTCCTTTCTCGCTTCTTTCTCTCCTTTCGTTCGCCTCCCTTCTTTCTCTCCCCTCCCTTCTTTCTCCTCCCTTCCTTCTCCTCCCTTCTTTAGCCTCCCTTCTTTCGCCTCCCTTCTTTCGCCTCCCTTCTTTCGCCTCCCTTCTTTTCCTCCCTTGCCCCGGTAGCAAATCCCTCCTTTGTCTGCCCATGTGGAAAGATTGCAACCCTTTCCTTTCTCTCCCTTCTTTACCTCTCCTCCCTTCTTTCTCTCTCCTCCCTTCTTTCTTTCTCCTCCCTTCTTTCTCCCCCCTTGCCCCGGTAGCAAATCCCTCCTTTGTCTGCCCGTGAGGAACGATGGCAACGCCCTTCCTTTCTCCTCCCTTCCTCTCATAACTTCTGTCTCCTCCCGTCTTTCTCTCTCCTCCCTTCTTTCTCCTCCCTCCTTTCTCCCCCCTTGCCCCTGTCGCAAATCCCTCCTTTGTCTGCCCGTGAGGAACGATGGAAACGCCCTTCCTTTCTCTCCGTTCTTTCTCCTACGTTCTTTCTCCTTCCTTCTTTCTCCTTCCTTCTTTCTCCTTCCTTCTTTCTCCTACCTTCTTTCTCCTCCGTTCTTCTCTCTCCTCCCTTCTTCTCTCTCCTCCCTCCTTTCTCCCCCCTTGCCCCGGTCGCAAATCCCTCCTTTGTCTGCGCGTGGGGAACGATGGCAACGCCTTTCCTTTCTCCTTCCTTTCTCTTTTCCTCCTCCACCGTTTTTTTCCTCCTCCCACTTTCCCTTCTCCCCCTTTCCTTCTTACCCTTCCTCTTTTTTCTCTGCCCGTGAGGAGCTATGGCAACGCTCTTCCTTTCTTTCTTCCTGATCCTCGCCTTTTCCATCTCCATACTTTCTTGTCCCTCCCTTCCTTCTGCCTCTTTCCTTTCTTTCTTTGTTGTCCCTCCTTCCTTCTTCCTCTTTCCTTTCTCTCTTCGTTTCCCCTCTTCTTGTCCCCCTCCGAATACAATGGCAAATCCCTCCTTTCACTGCCTGTGAGGAACAAAGCCCACTTTTCGGGCTACCCTTCCTCCCTTTCTCTTCCCCCGTTGCCTTGTTCCCTTCCCCCCCCCCCCCCCCCCCCCCCCCCCC